AATTCCTAGTGGTGAATAAATACCACCAAAATAAAGCTTTATCTGTCTCAAAAAAATGCTAAAAAAAATTCATATGGGTACAGTGTTGCATGACCGCGCAATTGTCATTCAAATTGTGATAGTGCTGAAAGCTGAAAATTGTCCTGGACAGGAAGGGGGGGAAAGTATCCGGACTGGAAGGGGGTGAAAGTATCCGGACTGGAAGGGGGTGAAAGTGTCCGGACTGGAAGGGGGTGAAAGTGTCCGGACTGGAAGGGGGGTGAAAGTGTCCGGACTGGAAGGGGGGTGAAAGTGTCCGGACTGGAATGGGGGTGAAAGTGTCCGGACTGGAAGGGGGTGAAAGTGTCCGGACTGGAAGGGGGTGAAAGTGTCCGGACTGGAAGGGGGTGAAAGTGTCCGGACTGGAATGGGGGTGAAAGTGTCCGGACTGGAATGGGGGTGAAAGTGTCCGGACTGGAAGGGGGATAGTGAAAGTGTCCGGACTGGAAGGGGTGGGGATAGTGTCTGGACTGGAAGGGGGGGAAAGTGTCCGGACTGGAAGGGGGTGAAAGTGTCCGGACTGGAAGGGGGTGAAAGTGTCCGGACTTGAAGTGGTTGAAAGTGTCCACCCACCTAACATAGCTCCCAACTGCCCCTGATTTCGAGGGGACTGTCCCTCATTCAGAACAAAGTCCCTCTGTACCCCGTTCCTCATTTTTTATTTGACCCTCATTTTGCTCTGATCTATCTAGTTGTATATACAATGTATTATCTATCAAAAAGTGTTTCCCAGTGCTAAAACTTTCATCCACTTTCTAAATTGCTGCATTTGTAAATTTCAAAAGCCAGTATAAAAGGAAGAGTAGTGGTAAAGCCTCTACAAATCCGCCTTTCTTAAATACACCTCTGGCCTCCATGCTGCTAAACAAACCTACTACCACACTCTCATCAAGACCCCTCATCCAATCCTCGTCAACACTTTTCTACCCTTAATTCCTTACTCCACCCCCATGACCTCCACCCACCAACGTACTTACTGCCCAGGAGATTGCCAGTCATTTCAAGAAGAAGATCGACACAATTCGTGATGAGATCTCCAGTGTCAAGCTTCCTCCTCCAACCAACATACCAGGCCCAACACCACACTCTTCTCCTTCAACCCTGTTACCACTGAGGAAGTTGCCAAACTCTTTTCCAAGGCCCACTTCACCACCGGTCCCCTGGACCCTGTCCCCTCACGAATATTGTGGCCTCCCTCCTGTTTCCGCCACCCCCCTCTGCCAATCCCTCCACTGGCTTCCGATTGCGCAACGGATCAAATTCAAAATCCTAACACTGACGTACAAAGCCGTCCACCATACTGCCCCGAAACTACATCACTGACCTAATATCCAAGTACCGCCCAACACGCACACTCCGCTCCTCACAAGACCTCCTTCTCTCTAGTTCCCTGGTCTCCTCCTCCCATGCCCGCCTCCAGGACTTCTCCAGGGTGTCACCCATCCTCTGGAACTCCCTGCCCCCAACCCATCAGATTATCACCTACTCTCCTCTCCTTTAGGCGCACCCTGAAAACCCATCTCTTCAGGGAAGCCTACCCCACCCCCTGCTAACTGCCGACCTCCTCCACTCTTCCTACCATTCCATCCCCCACAGCTATCTCCTCCTGTGCCACCATCCCCTCCCTCCTAGATTGTAAGCTCCAAGGAGCAGGGCCCTCAATCCCCTCATGTTTTGCATTGTATTGGTATTGTTCTGTCACATGTTCTGTCCCCCTTTGTAATGTACAGCACTGAGCGAACTATTGGCGCTTTATAAATACTGTATAAATAATTAGGCCCTAAACTCTTTAACCCCCATCTTGAACTTCTAACCTCTCCACCGCCAACCTTTCCCTCCTCCCTTAAACATGCACTGGTTACCCCCATACTTACAAAACCCTCGCTGGACCCCACCTGTTGGAATTTACCTAAGACCCATCTCCTTGCTCCCGTTTGCCTCCAAACTTCTCAATCTTGTTCACTGTCAGAATGATATGGCTGATTGGTGTATATAGAGCTTTTTCATTGTTTTATTATCATTATTACATGCCGATATTATATTACTTACTGTATATATACAGTTGTGTTCACAAATAATAGCAGTGTGTTGAAAAAAGTGACTAAAGCTGAAAATCCTTCTAATAGCTTTTATTTCCATCCACACAAATGCATTGGGAACACGACACATTCTATTCCAAATCACAACATGAAGAAAAATACATCAAATTTGTGTTGTTCCTCTAAAAAAAATGGAAGAAAAGTGAATATTAGACGGTTCAAAAAAAAATCGCAAGTGTTTGTATTCTTCTTTACAAACTCAAACATTCACTATATAAACTGAGAAATGTTTGAAGATTTTGCTTTCCTTTGAATGACTTCATGAATATTTGGTTGTAGTCGCACTGTTTCTGAGAACTGCTGTACATCTGTGTTGCATGGAGTCACCCAACTTCTGGCCCCTGTGATCAGGTATTCCAGCCCAGGATGATTGGACCACATTCCACAGTTCTTCTCTATTTCTTGGTTTTGCCTCAGAAACTGCATTTTTGATGTCACCCCACAAGTTTTCTATTGGATGAAGATCCGGGGATTGGGCTGGCCACTCCATAACGTCCATCTTGTTGGTCTGGAACCAAGATGTTGCACGTTTACTGGTGTGTTTGGGGTCGTTGTCTTGTTGGAACACCCCATTTCAAGGGCATTTCCTCTTCAGCATAAGGCAGCATGACCTCTTCAAGTATTCTGATGTCTTCAAACTGATCCATGATCCCTGGTATGCGATAAATAGGCCCAACACCGTAGTATGAGAAACATCCCCATAGATGCTTGCACCACCATGCTTCACGGTCTTCACAGTGTACTGTGGCTTGAATTCAGTGTTTGGGGGTCGTCTGACAAACTGTCTCCGCCCACTAGACCCAAAAAAGAACAATCTTACTTTCATCAGTCCACAAAATGTTGCGCCATTTCTCTTTAGGCCAGTCAATGTGCTCTTTGGCAGATTGTAACCTCTTCAGCACACGTCTTTTTTTTCCCAACAGTGGGACTTTGCGGGGACTTCTTGCAGATAGCTTGGCTTCACATCGGCGTCTTCTAATTGTAACAGTCCTCACAGGGAACGTCACACCTTCTTTCATCTTCCTGGAGCTGATTGTTGGCTGAGTCTTGCGCCATTTTGGCTATTCTTCTATCCATTCCAATGGTAGTTTTTCGCTTTCTTCCAGTCTTTCAGGTTTTGGTTGCCATTTTAAAGCATTTGCGATCATTTTAGCTGAGCAGCCGATCATTTTCTGCACTTCTTTATATGTTTTCCCCTCTCCAATCAACTTTTTAATCAAGGTACGCTGTTCTTCTGAACAATGTCTGGAACGACCCATTTTCCTCAGAATTTCAGAGAGAAATGCACTGTAACCAGCATGTACAACATTTGCTGCCTTCCTTCCTTAAATAAGGGCAATAATTGCCACCTGTTTTTCAAAGAATGAATGACCTCACTAATAGAACTCCACACTGCTATTATTTTGAACATGCCCCTTTCAATGAGTGATTCAATGACACAGAATCAGCAGCATGCATGTCATGGACTGTTGGGTCTGTTGGATTTCTATTACTCTACTACACCTGCTAGGAAATTATTTGCCATGTAGAAATATCATTTCCACCAAAAACAGTGATTGATCCGGTTAGTGATGTCTGACTGCTATTATTTTGAACACAACTGTACATACAGTATTTTCATTATAGGTGTATATATATATATATAATTTATTTAGAATGCATCGTGCTGAGAGATCTATCAACGCCATTGTAAAGGAGGCTGCAGATTACACAAATGTGGAATTGTGATTCCACTGATCTGTAAAGAGCCTGGAATAGCAGTGCTCTCTTGCAGTCTCATATAATGTGTCATTGATCTATGACTGCCCCTTGAAGCACGTCCCCAGTCTCTAACGACTCCTATAGTATGAACACAATCTCTGACCATCTCCTGTATCATGTCTGCAGTCTCTGACCATCTCCTGTATCCTGTCTGCAGTCTCTGACCGTCTCTTGTATCATGTCCGCAGTCTCTGATCATCTCCTGTATCATGTCTGCAGTCTCTGACCATCTCCTGTATTGTGTCCTCAGTCTCTGATTATCTCCTGCAGCATGTCTGCAGTCTCTGACCATCTCCTGTAGCATGTCTGCAGTCTCTGACCATCTCTGTAGTATGTCTGCAGTCTCTGACTATCTCCTGTATCATGTCCGCAGTCTGACCATTTCCTGTATCATGTCCACACTCTCTGACCATTTCCTGTATCATGTCCACACTCTCTGACCATTTCCTGTATCATGTCCGCACTCTCTGACCACAGTCCTGTAGCATGTTTGCACTTTCTGACCATGTACTGTATCATGTCTGCAGTCTCTGAGCATCTCCTGTATCATGACTGCAGTCTCTGATCATCTCTTGTATCATGTTTGTGGTCTCTGATCATTTCTTGTGTCATGTCTGCAGTCTCTGACCATCTCCTGTAGCATGTTTACACTTTCTGACCATCTCCTGTATCATGTCTGCAGTCTCTGACCATCTCCTGTATCATGTCCGCAGTCTCTGAACATCTCCTGTATCATGTCTGCAGTCTCTGACCATCTCCTGTATCATGTCTGCAGTCTCTGACCATCTCCTGTATCATGTCTGCAGTCTGTAACCATCTCCTGTGTCATATCTGTAGTCTCTGACCAAATCCTGTGTCATATCTGCAGTCTCCGACCATCTCCTGTGTCATATCTGAAGTCTCTGACCAAATCCTGTGTCATATCTGAAGTCTCCGACCATCTCCTGTGTCATATCTGCAGTCTCTGACCATCTCCTGTATCATGTTTGCAGTCTCTGACCGTCTCCTGTATCATGTCTGCAGTCTCTGACCGTCTCCTGTATCATGTCTGCAGTCTCTGACTGTCTCCTGTATCATGTCTGCAGTCTCTGACCGTCTCCTGTATCCTGTCTGCAGGCTATGACCGTCTCCTGTATCCTGTCTGCAGTCTCTGACCATCTCCTGTATCATGTCTGCAGTCTCTGACCATCTCCTGTATCATGTCTGCAGTCTCTGACCGTCTCCTGTATCCTGTCTGCAGTCTCTGACCATCTCCTGTATCATGTCTGCAGTCTCTGACCATCTCCTGTATCATGTCTGCAGTCTCTGACCATCTCCTGTATCATGTCCGCAGTCTCTGACAGATTTCTGTGATATTCACTGAATATTATATGTTGCTCTCTTGTGATGTCAGAGGCCACACCTGAGGTCTCTGGAACTGAGAATACTGAGCACATGGCAGTTGGCGATCAACTGAGGATATAATATGGTTTCATGAACCCCCCCCCCCCCCAAAGAAAAAAGCAAATACTATAGATAACCACTAGGTGGCAGCCCAACCTAACTCTTCTATAATAATGTGGCTTTCCTGTATGCCCGGCCTCTGTATTGATTTCTGTAATTTTTTGTATTTAATTTCTCGGATGGAATTTATTTATCGAAAATATTCTGCGTAACGGATCAGAAAATATTTTCTTTTCAATGATTGTACCTTTATGTGTTCTCCACCCCTGACCTGTGTCTTGTGTTGTATACCCGGGCCGGGAGATATCTCTAGCGTTCCTCTGCTGGGAAGAGGACTTGTGGGCATTCCTCACTTTATTCATTAAGGGAAAAAACAGAGATATATAATATTATAGGAGTCTCTAACGACTCCTATAATATGTTCACAATCTCTGACCATCTCCTGTATCATGTCCTCGGTCTCTGACCATCTCCTGTATCATGTCCGCGGTCTCTGACCATCTCCTGTATCATGTCCTCGGTCTCTGACCATCTCCTGTATCATGTCCGCGGTCTCTGACCATCTCCTGTACTGTGTCCTCGGTCTCTGACCATCTCCTGTATCATGTCCTCGGTCTCTGACCATCTCCTGTATCATGTCCACGGTCTCTGACCATCTCCTGTACTGTGTCCTCGGTCTCTGACCATCTCCTGTATCATGTCCTCGGTCTCTGACCATCTCTGTATCATGTCCTCGGTCTCTGACCATCTCCTGTATCATGTCCTCGGTCTCTGACCATCTCCTGTATCATGTCCGCGGTCTCTGACCATCTCCTGTATCATGTCCTCGGTCTCTGACCATCTCCTGTATCATGTCCTCGGTCTCTGACCATCTCCTGTATCATGTCCTCGGTCTCTGACCATCTCCTGTATCATGTCCTCAGTCTCTGACCATCTCCTGTATCATGTCCTCGGTCTCTGACCATCTCCTGTATCATGTCCTCAGTCTCTGACCATCTCCTGTATCATGTCTGCAGTCTCTGACCATCTCCTGTATCCTGTCTGCAGTCTCTGACCATCTCCTGTATCATGTCCACAGTCTCTGACCGTCTCCTGCAGCATGTCTGCAGTCTCTGACCATCTCCTGTATCATGTCTGCAGTCTCTGACCATCTCCTAGATTGTAAGCTCGAAAGAGCAGGGCCCTCGATCCCCTCATGTTTTGCATTGTATTGGTATTGTTCTGTCACATGTTCTGTCCCCCTTTGTAATGTACAGCGCTGAGCAAACTATTGGCGCTTTATAAATACTGTATAATAATAATAATAATAATCTCCTGTAGCATGTCCTCAGTCTCTGACCATCTCCTGTATCATGTCCTCAGTCTCTGACCATCTCCTGTATCATGTCTGCAGTCTCTGACCATCTCCTGTATCATGTCTGCAGTCTCTGACCATCTCCTGTATCATGTCTGCAGTCTCTGACCATCTCCTGCACCATGTCCTCAGTCTCTGACCATCTCCTGTACCATGTCTGCAGTCTCTGACCATCTCCTGTACCATGTCCTCAGTCTCTGACCATCTCCTGTACCATGTCCTCAGTCTCTGACCATCTCCTGTATCATGTCTGCAGTCTCTGACCATCTCCTAGATTGTAAGCTCGAAAGAGCAGGGCCCTCGATCCCCTCATGTTTTGCATTGTATTGGTATTGTTCTGTCACATGTTCTGTCCCCCTTTGTAATGTACAGCGCTGAGCAAACTATTGGCGCTTTATAAATACTGTATAATAATAATAATAATCTCCTGTAGCATGTCCTCAGTCTCTGACCATCTCCTGTATCATGTCCTCAGTCTCTGACCATCTCCTGTATCATGTCTGCAGTCTCTGACCATCTCCTGTATCATGTCTGCAGTCTCTGACCATCTCCTGTATCATGTCTGCAGTCTCTGACCATCTCCTGTACCATGTCCTCAGTCTCTGACCATCTCCTATATCATGTCCTCAGTCTCTGACCATCTCCTGTATCATGTCTGCACTCTCTGACCATCTCCTGTATCATGTCCGCAGTCTCTGACCATCTCCTGTACCATGTCTGCAGTCTCTGACCATCTCCTGTACCATGTCTGCAGTCTCTGACCATCTCCTGTACCATGTCTGCAGTCTCTGACCATCTCCTGTACCATGTCTGCACTCTCTGACCATCTCCTGTACCATGTCCTCAGTCTCTGACCATCTCCTGTATCATGTCTGCACTCTCTGACCATCTCCTGTATCATGTCCACAGTCTCTGACCATCTTCCGTATCGTACCAGTGATGTCACTGGAAGGGGAACATTTCCACGCATCAGTGGTGTCACTGGAAGGGAAAAATGTCAATGGTGGAAAAAACACCATAACAAACCCCCCCCCCCCCCCAGTATAGAGCTTTTCCCTCAACCTCTAAAACTTCTCCCCCACTACAAAGCTCTCCCCCCCAATACTACAGAGCCCATCCCCCTCTGCTATAAAGCCCCCCCAGTTCATAGCTCTCCCCCCAGATTAGTTAGATGTTTTGCTGAACAGCCTGCAGGTACGCCAGCCCCCCCCCCCCCCCCCCTTGTAAAGCCCCCAGTGCACGGTCACACAGCTTCCAAAGCCGCCTACAAAAGCCGTGGCCCACCGGTGACACCATCCGGAACCTCGCCCTCACAGAGCTTGCATGTAGGAAGTGGCTGCAAAGAGGCCGCCAGAGATGAGCGGCGCTGAGATTCTGAAACGGATGAAAACAAATCTATTGAAAAAAAAAAAAAAAAAAGATTTGCTCTGATTTTGATCCGAAGTGTTTTTAGAAGGCGACTGTCCTTGCGGTGAGAGTTCCATCGACTTGTAATGAGTTCGATGTACAGAGGCGGCAGGGAGAGCCGCGGTGTAAACGCATTTGGATGGACAACAAAGAGCGAAGACACAACGAGGATGGATGATGGATGAGCGCAGAGGGACAGCTGGGAAATATGTAAATGACGTGTCTGCAGCGAGGAGGGCGCCTCCCCAGGGAGCTCATCTCTCCGTCCAGCAATATGTATGGAGGGACAAGAGCATGCTGGGAAATCTTTGTGCTGATGAGATCACATGGTCATGATTACAGCATGCATGGTGACATGGGGGCTTTGTTATACAGGACCGCCGGCCGCCTAGACAGCCAGAGAGGGGGGGGCAGGGACCTTCGATCCACATGGAAGCTGCTGTCCTTCAGGATCCGTTCACACCAGGGCGTTTTTTAGTGCTTTTTACAGAAACGCACCGCAGTCCACGTAACATGGCTTCCCATGGAACCGCTCACATCTCTGCTTTTTTTTGAGTCGCTGCATTTTTGGAAAGGGTCAGGGACTGTTTTTTTTTAAGGGCCAGTTCACACTCCATGCATTTCAGTTGCTTTTTTTTCTGCATCCAAAACGCACAGAAAGTAGGTGATATGGTGGTCAATGTCATAGTTCACATCAGCGTTCGCAGTTCCAGTGCGGTCCTGATGCAGAAAAAAAAAAGTAGAACAGGTGGCATTTTTTCTGCACAAAACTGTACTGGAACGTGGTAAAACGTAGCAAAAACGCACCAAAAAACACACTGGAACGCACAGGTCCCTATTTAAATTGAAGAAAAAGAGAGGGGGGAAAAATGAACTGGAATGTATAAAAAACGCACTGGAATGCACCAAAATGCATCTAAAACGCTCTGGAACACACGTCCCTATTGAGGGCCGGTTCACACTCCATGCGGTTCAGTTGTTTTTTTTTTCCTGCATCCAAAATGCACAGAAAGTAGGTGATATGGTGGTCAATGTCATAGTTCACATCAGCGCTTGCAGTTCCAGTGCGTTCCGGGTGCAGAAACAAAAAGTAGAACAGGCTGCATCTTTTCTGCACAGAACTGCACTGGAATGTGCTAAAATGCATCAACAGCGCACCAAAAAAGCACTAGAACGCACATGTCCCTATTGAGGGCCAGTTCACACTCCATGCATTTCAGTTGCTTTTTTTTCTGCATCCAAAACGCACAGAAAGTAGGTGATATGGTTACATGGTGATAGTGTTACAGTTCACATGAGCGCTTGCAGTTCCAGTGCGTTCCGGGTGCACAGAACTATAGTGGAACGCAGTAAACTGCGACAAAAATGCACCAAAATGCATCAAAAAACGCACCGGAATGCACATGTCCCTATTTAAATTGAAGAAAAAGAGAGAGGGAACAAATGTACTGGAATGCAGACAAAACGCACTGGAACGCGTTGAAAATGCATCGCAAAACGCACAGAAAGCAGGTGATATGGTTGTCAATGTCATAGTTCACATCAGCGTTCGCAGTTCCAGTGCGTTCCGGGTGCAGAAAAAAAAGTAGAACAGGCGGCATTTTTTCTGCACAGAACTGCACTGGAACACGGTAAAACAGTATAATAATAATATAAATATTTTATACAAGTCATCTAATAAAATTATATACATATTTATGTAATATTGTAATTATTTATTATTATTATTATTCAGGATTTATGTATTATTATTATTATTATTATTATACAGGATTTATATATTATTATTATTATTCAGGATTTATATATTATTATTATTATTCAGGATTTATATTATTATTATTATACAGGATTTATATATTATTATTATTATACAGGATTTATATATTATTATTATTATTATTATTATACAGGATTTATATATTATTATTATTCAGGATTTATATATTATTATTATTATTATTATACAGGATTTATATATTATTATTATTATACAGGATTTATATATTATTATTATTTATTATACAGGATTTATATATTATTATTTTTCAGGATTTATATATTATTATTATTATTATTATTATTACAGGATTTATGGCGCCAACAGTTTGCTCAGCACTTTACAATATAACAGGAGACAATACAGCAACCATACAGTTCAATACAAGAGGGATAGGAGGGCCCTGATCCTGGGAGCTTACAATCTAGAAGGGAGGGGCTAGTGGTACAAAAGGTAGTAACTGTGGGGGATGGACTAGTAGGAGGAATAGAAGATTCCATTATTAGCTGAGGGCAGGATAGGCTTCCCTGAAGAGAGAGGTTTTCAGAGATCCCCTAAAAGTGGGCAGAGTAGGCGATAGTCTGATAGATTGGGGTAGAGAGTTCCAGAGGATGGGGGAGGCTCTGCAGAAGTCCTGGAGATGAGCATGGGAGGAGGAGACAAGGGAGCTAGAGAGCAGGAGGTCGTGGGAGGAGCGGAGAGTACGGTTTGGGTGATATTTGGAGACAAGATTGGTGATGTAATTTGGGGCGGAGTTATAATGGCTTTATATGTTATGTATGTATAATACCGTATTTTTTGCTCCATAAGACGCACTTTTTTTCCCCCAAAAAAATGGGGGAAAATGTCAGTGCGTCTTATGGAGCGAATATAAAGCGGCCGGTCCGGTATTTCCGCCGCCACCATGTCAGAATCCCGGGCCGGCCGCTCAGCTGTTCTCTGCGGCAGGAACTCACCTGTTCCTCGGTCCAGCGCTGTAGTCTTCCCGCCCCCGGCATCTGTGACAGCCGGGTGCCCACTGTGCATGCGCGAGAAGCGCTGCGCTTTGTGAATGGTCCGGTGTCTTCTGGGACACATGACAGGTCCCAAAAGACGCCGGGCCATTCACAAAGCGCAGCGCTTCTCGCGCATGCACAGTGGGCACCCGGCTGTCAAAGTCAGATGCCCACAGTATAGGAAGGAGAACTCCACGGAAGTGGGAGCGGGTACCTGTAAAATTCAGGTACCCGCTCCCCTTCCCTAAAAGTCCGCAGTGTCTGGTCATCCCTGTACTGTGTCCGCAGTCTCTGGTCATCTCCTGTACTGTGTCCGCAGTCTCTGGTCATCTCCTGTACTGTCCGCAGTCTCTGGTCATTCCCTGTACTGTGTCCGCAGTCTCTGGTCATCTCCTGTACTGTGTACGCAGTCTCTGGCCATCTCCTGTACTGTGTCTGCAGTCTCTGGTCATCTCCTGTACTGTGTCCGCAGTCTCTGGTCATCCCCTGTACTGTGTCCGCAGTCTCTGGTCATCCCCTGTACTGTGTCCGCAGTCTCTGGTCATCTCCTGTACTGTCCGCAGTCTCTGGTCATCTCCTGTACTGTGTCCGCAGTCTCTGGTCATCTCCTGTACTGTGTCCGCAGTCTCTGGTCATCTCCTGTACTGTGTCCGCAGTCTCTGGTCATCTCCTGCACTGTGTCCGCAGTCTCTGGTCATCTCCTGTACTGTGTCCGCAGTCTCTGGTCATCTCCTGTACTGCGTCCGCAGTCTCTGGTCATCTCCTGTACTGCGTCCGCAGTCTCTGGTCATCTCCTGTACTGCGTCCGCAGTCTCTGGTCATTCCTGTACTGCGTCCGCAGTCTCTGGTCATCTCCTGTACTGCGTCCGCAGTCTCTGGTCATCTCCTGTACTGTGTCTGCGGTCTCTGGTCATCTCCTGTACTGTGTCCGCGGTCTCTGGTCATCTCCTGTACTGTGTCCGCAGTCTCTGGTCATCTCCTGTACTGTCCGCAGTCTCTGGTCATCTCCTGTACTGTCCGCAGTCTCTGGTCATCTCCTGTACTGTGTCCGCAGTCTCTGGTCATCCCTGTACTGTGTCCGCAGTCTCTGGCCATCTCCTGTACTGTGTCCGCAGTCTCTGGTCATCTCCTGTACTGTGTCCGCGGTCTCTGGTCATCTCCTGTACTGTGTCCGCGGTCTCTGGTCATCTCCTGTACTGTCCGCAGTCTCTGGTCATCTCCTGTACTGTCCGCAGTCTCTGGTCATCTCCTGTACTGTGTCCGCAGTCTCTGGTCATCCCTGTACTGTGTCCGCAGTCTCTGGCCATCTCCTGTACTGTGTCCGCAGTCTCTGGTCATCTCCTGTACTGTACTGTGTCCGCAGTCTCTGGTCATCCCTGTACTGTGTCCGCAGTCTCTGGCCATCTCCTGTACTGTGTTCGCAGTCTCTGGTCATCTCCTGTACTGTCCGCAGTCTCTGGTCATCTCCTGTACTGTCCGCAGTCTCTGGTCATCTCCTGTACTGTGTCCGCAGTCTCTGGTCCTCCCTGTACTGTGTCCGCAGTCTCTGGCCATCTCCTGTACTGTGTCCGCAGTCTCTGGTCATCCCCTGTACTGTGTCCGCAGTCTCTGG